ATACTATATTCCATACATAATGGGCACCTGTATATATCATTTTGCTTACCTGCATCTATTGAGTTTCTTTATTTTCTTTCTATATCTTTGTGTTGTTAAATTTTCGTTATTGTGTGAACCTCTTGTTTCCAACATCACTTCACAATTAGTGCCCGTTACGAATTAACGGATTGTGTGGCGCCTTAAACAAATCGAACCTTCCCTTCTCCAAACGATTTTGCCGGGCAGTTCGCAACAAACTGGTTAGGTTGAATAATAACGTAAATTGTTTTGCGGGTTGTGTGTCGATCGGGTAAAATTTCAAAAATTATCATAATTTTAATTTCGGGTGCGTTTTGGTTCTCCTTTTTTTTAAGGCGTAACAAACCACTGACTAAAGCATAGCAATGATCACTGCTCGAGAAATAGCAAATCAAGAGGGACATAGCGTTGTTTATACTATTAACCTAGCTACTATGCGTCAAAAGTGGTAATACATTTTCCGAAGCTACTAAAACGTTAAAAAATAACTAGCAAATTTTTTTTTTCAAAAATTATAAGTGATCGTGACCATTTTTTCAAGTAAAAGTGATGTGAAATTATGCTGTGTACCCAACAGAAGAAAAAAAAATTATAGATTTGAAAAAATAGTGAAATTAGTACTCACATCCGGTATAACCGGAAGTACAAAGAGAATGATTTCATGTCGTAATAATCCGTTTTAACTGCCCAATTATGCATTCCAAATGGTTTTCTTATATCACTAATAATTAAAAAAAAATATGGGGGTGAGCCACTTGTAAGGGACACCCGGTATAGATATAAAAGTTTAACAAAGAAGAAAATATTTAAACATGCTGAATAATTACTGAAACCGGTGGAATTAAAAAACATTAATATCCATTTTAATAAAAAGTACAAAAAAGAAAAACAGATTTTTATTATAAATAAAAAATTAGGTACGCTAGGTGCCAATCTACGATACAAAACATTCCATGGTTCAAAAACGTTCTTTTTGTATCACGCTAGTTCTACACTCTCATTACTAGACTGAGAATAGGACATGCGCTATGCCCCACCTATTTGTTTAAAGTTGGAATTAAAGATTCCCCACAATGCGAATGTGGCGCAGAGGATGATCTAGACCTTATCTTTTTCGCCTGTCCAAGATACTCTTATCAGCGATGAAACTATTTGCAGGTCTATTTAAGAAACATATGTAGTATTTACCAATTAACATTACTAGCTATCTGCTCATTTGAGATAAATTTGATGTTGGGCGAATATGTTACATCTGCAGATGTATACAGGCATTCTACTGTGATAACGGCGGTAACGACTTTGTCTGTGATATACAGTGTGTCCGCGGATTGTGTTCACCTTACGGGGAGTAAGGTGTAATTGTCGATAAATTTTGGAAGTCAAATTCCATCTTTTGCAATTAAAGTCTGGATGTCATAAAGCGAAATATAACCAAGTTTTACGTCAAATGTCCTCAAAGTACCAAAGTTAACGCAAGAAGTTTGTTAACCGTTGCAGGTAAAGTGGTCTTTCTGAGCAATGTACAACAAAAGTTGATTAAGATAAAATGTTTGTTATGTTAAATTATAGCGATAGTAGTGATGGTTTACGTAGGTCAAAGTACAGGGT